AAATCTTTCGAAAGAGTTTTCGCAATATTTCGAAATATATTTCGAAAATTTTCGAAATTGTTATCTTTCGAAATATTTCGAAATAATTTGTGAAATATTTCGGATTTCTTGCATCACGAAAATTCTTTCGAAAGATTTCACTATTTAAATTTGCTGATGATAACCCTTAGATAGATTATGTTACTGACAAGAACCCAGCAACATATGTCGCTCTCACAGCAGAAGTTCAAGTTGAAACTCTAACATTAAATACAAACACTTCTTTAACTACTTCTCAAAAAGAAAAAGCAACAGAAATGCTTACTAATAATCATCATCTCTTTGCTGAAAACATCTTTGAACAAGGTCAAACCCTAGAACTAGGACAAACTAATGAAGTTTGTCATGAGATTTATACTCCTGATGTAAAGCCTATTAAACAAAGAGCATATAAAGCATCTCCAGATAACCAAGAATTTTTAAAGAAAGAAATTGAAGATATAGAAAAATGAGGAATTATTTGAGAATCAAGTAGTTCTTGATCCTCACCTGTTGTTATTGTATCTAAAAAGAATAACAAAAAGAGAATTTGCATTGACTACAGAAAGTTAAATGCAGTTATAGAAAAAGACATTTACCTCCTTTTTGATATTAATGAAATCCTATTTGTCTTTGAAGGATCTCAATGGTTTTCAAGCTTAGACTTAGCCAGTAGATATTGGCAAGTTGCTTTTCAAGAAAAAAATAAAAAGAAAATTACTTTCATCACTAGACATGGAACTTATGAGTTCAATGTTATACCATTTAGACTCTGCAATATATTTGCTACTTTCCAAAGGTTAATAGATAAAATCCTACAACTATTTATTAACAAATTTGTAGTAGTATATTTGGATAATATAACTATCTACTCTAAAACTTTTAATAAACATTGTGAACATTTGCAAGCAGTATTCAATAAACTGCAAGAAACTAATTTAAAGTTGAATATTGAAAAATATTTCTTCTTTTTAAATGAATTAAAATTCCTAGGACATATCATAGGAAAAGATAGAATAAAACCTAACAAAGAAAAGATAGGAAAAGTAAAAAACTTTTCTACACCTACAAATATTCAACAAATTCAAAGCTTCCTTAGACTTGCTTCTTATTATAGAAAATCTATTAAAGAATTCTTTAGAATTGCAAAATCTCTAAATCTTCTATTGCAAAAAGACCAACTTTATCATTGGAGAAATAACTAAGAAAAAGCTTTTCAAACCTTAAAAGATCACTTTATAACTATACCAATTCTACAATACTCTAACTTTAAGCAACCTTTCTACATTCACACTAATACTTCTCAATCTGGTCTAGAAGCTATATTTAGAGTTCTAACTCAAGTTAAAATTTTAGACCCGTAACTTATCAGGTCAAGACTAGCAACCAACTAGGTATCCGAATTAAAATCAGATAATCTAGTTACCTATATATAATTCAGGTAACCTAGTTACCTAATTATTTGTATGTAATTCAGGTAACCTGGTTATCTGATTATCTATATGTAATTCAGATAACCTGGTTACCTGATTACCTATATGTAATCTGAGTAACCTGATTACCTATATATAATTTGGGTTATTCAGTTACTTAATTGCCTTAAGTAACCTCATAAGCAGAAGTTTGTCTGATTAGCTTAAATCAATTACTTGAGTAACTTATTTATATACTTTAAAGTACTTTTTGAAATTACAAAATTATACAAGCAAAAAATCAGCAAAAACATTATTTTTAGCTTCAAAAGAGTGCTAGAAAGCTAAATCTAAAATTAATAATCATATATTCAGAGAAGTTAGCTTAGATACAATATTCTGAAAATAAAAATAATTACTAACAAAATTCATACGTATTCATCGATTCATATAAATTTTCTTGAGGTTTTTCATTTCATACATGAATAACGTACTGCAAATTGAGTAATTTAATTAGTTGTATAGATCTAACTTCTGCCTATAACTTTACATGTACGTCTAAATTACTTTTGAAAAAAAGTATTTTTGGCAAACATTTCAGTATTGCTAAATTTTTTATATGAAACCCTCTAAAATAAATATACTATATGATGTATTTTGATAGACATATATGAAAATTAATTTCAGCACTATATAAAAATAATTTTAGCTACTAAATACTATAATTACTTTTTATTAAGATAGACAATTTAGATATATATATATATCTATAACAAGTAATCTGATTACCTAAAAACCTGAATAGTTCATATCAGTTTTTTTATTAATATATCAATTTATATTCGATTATTTCAATTCTTATTTATTATTTTGTGATTGATAGTTACAAAATGATGACGTTTCTATAAATTTGCTATGCAATTCTAATTAAAAAAAATTAAAGCATAAGACAAAAAAGATTATATACTATACTATTCATATTATTGTATGTAGAAGTAGCTTTTTCTTTCTTCATACAACACTATCAAATCTTAATATCAACTTCATTATCCAATTAAGTATATTTAAGCTACACACTATTATATTACAGTATTAATGATAAGTACATTTTTTTTTGATATAGCAATAGTAACTTGTTTATATACTATTTATAATTTATCTAGTTTAAAAATAGGACAATACTACATATTACATTTAAGGAATATCATTTGCTCAACTATATCTAGATGAAGCCTGTTATATAATGCCATAATATGTAATTCTGTGTCTAAAAATAATTGCTCTAAGAGAACTGATATTGCTAATACTGACAAGTATTTTTGAGCTAGATTTAATAATGAAGGATATATTTTAGATCTATCTTTCTACCATACTAGAAAATTGCAGTCTATTTTCTCAACAAGTTCACGAAAGTAATAGTCAACTTCAGTTTCATTAAAAATTTCATTATTAGGTTTTTTACTACTATATAAATCTGCAATCAAGTCATTAGTTGTTGCGAGTTCAAGAGTTGATATAGTAGATAACTTGTTAACTTAATTGAGGACTAGTAGTATTTTTCTTCATCGCAAAGTGTTTGCACCTTATTAATTATAGTTTTCTTTATTAATTCATCACTAAGAATCTTCAAATACTTAATTCTCAATTCAAGAATGATGCTACAAGCCTAATTTCTTTAGAAGTTTCCCAATATTCTTGAAAAGAAAGATAACTTGTAGCTTTAACTAAATCACATAGGTCTTCAGTAGTAACAGGGGGCTCTATTAATTGACAGCCTTTAAATCATGAGTCATTATTTAGATACATATTTTTTTTAATTTTGCTATAACTTTGTTTCTTTATTCGCTCTTGTAATACTTGTAATAGTTGACGGAGTTGCTCTAAAATTATTTGTATATCAAATTTATCTTCTATATCAAGTTCATCAGGATTTTCATCATTAGTTGGTTGAGTTGAGTTAAAAATAAAAAATAAAACAGATTTTAGTTTTTTAATATTTATAAATTTAAAATTGGTGGCACTATATATTTTTAAAAAGTAATATTTAATGCCAAGAAAAACTTTTAATATACCCAATAGGTTCAAATAATAATTCAGCATAATCATCTTCAGTTTGTTCATGAGAACGTGTGAATTTCCTAATAAGCAATTTCATTGTTAGATAAATAAGATTAAGAGTAGAATAGCTTGAACCAGAAAATATATTAGTAGCCTTATAAAATAGTTTCATTAATAGAATAAGACTATCTAACAATTGCTATTTATTTTCAGTTAAATTAGTTAATTTCAAATACTCGCTATCAAGTTTGTCACATTGTTCTGATTCTAAAGGCAATATCAAAACAAGGTAATCAATCACCTTTCGTAACTCTCTAAATCAAATTCAAGCTAAATATAAAGAATTCTATCTTATTAGTACATTATTAATTGGTTAGTAAATTTTTGAATATCTACATTTTTCTTGCGTATCTCTAAGTCATTCAGATTGTTTAGGACTTTGAAAAAAAAAAGAATTAAATTCTTTGCTCTTTTAATTAATTATATTGCAGGTTTAAGACTTTTTAGCATGCTTAGTTGAAGCATATAAGCAGAGCAAGATAATTATATAACATTGTCTATTAAGCTAATTACCTTTTTAACATTAGCTCTATTGTTAGTTGTGATGCATAATATTCGTCTTGTGAATTTCTAATCAGTGATAACTTAATTAAGAGAGTCCTTGATAGCTTTAGCTGTGTATAGTAAGAAAAGTAGTCAGATTGTTAATAAAGCCTCTTTTAATTCAAAGTTTGAATCGATCTATGTTGCTGTTACTCCAATGTACTCTTGATTTATTCTTGAACTCCACATATCTGTTGTTAAATTAATGAATCCACTATCAGTATTTACTATACTAAATAATTGATTATGACTCTAATCATAAGCTTTGTTAATCATTTTTTTCACAGTCTGCTTACAAAGAATGTGAATGCCTGCTTCTATATAATTTAACAACTGATGAAAAGCTTGGTTACATAAAATATAAAGAGGTTGGCAATCTTCAATAATAAATTTAACTAATAGCTATGCTATTTTGTCTTGTCTCTATTTACTAATGATATGTATAGCTTTGATAATTGAACTATTACTGTTTGCTTCTTCAGGGTAGTCTTTATCTATTTAGTGCTTAGACCAAAGATAGCTAAGCATATTCTTCATTGAAGAGTCATGCGTATATCTAATATCAATGTTTTTTTCTTTACAGATTTGACAAATATCAAAAATGTCTTTTTCTGTTATCTCAATATTAAAATAATCTTATGTGATACTATATTTTTTTTTGATTTTTTGTTTAATTGTTATATGCAGGTGATTTATCAGATCTAGTCAGTTCATCATATGTATCTACAGAATATATATCATCATCATCTATATAATCAGATATTGAAGTTGAAATACTCATCTTAACAGATACACCTATTAGTTTTATAATATTAATTGCATACCAGTAGTGCTTAATTTTTTGCATGCATTATGATTTTGAAAATCTTATCTAATAGACGATAACTAAAGTGTAGTATGTTTATTACAATGTTTTGAATATAATCTATTTAATGCTATAAACAAAGATATTTGTTTAGTTTTTAAAAAACAGATATCTAATATGTGATTTTTATAAAAATTATAATAGTAGTGTTTTCTAAAAATCAAAAAAAAAAAAACGCTTTTAAAAATTAAGAGATTTTTATATCAAAAAAAAGTGTTATCAATTACTATATTATGTAGACCAATAAAAAAAGAAGTTATCATCAATTTTAATATTACTACGTATCAGTTTTTTTTTTAAAAAAAAAAACAAAATAAAATCTTTATACTGCATGAATTTTTTTTTTGAAAATAAAATTAAGTGGATCTTTTAAAGTTATTTATATGATTTATATCCATTTAAATATTTTTATTATCAATAATTTTTTATTATGAGTAAAGATATGCATCAGTATTATTAGAATATTAACTTAATATAGCCTAGCACTAACTTTATCTTAAATCTTATTTTTAAACCAGTTAGTAATATAAATTGAGTTGATCGATTATCTATTTACTAACTAGGTCACCTGTTGTAAAACAAATTACCTGCTTATTATAGTTAAATAGGCTACTTGCTTATTATAGTATTACCTATTGTAAAACAGATTATCTGATATAAATAGATTACTTGTTTATCAAAAAAAATAACCTAGTTAGTAAATTTTACGAGTTGGATCATCAGATATATAGTTACTTGAGTTATAGTTTGGATCTCTAGCTTTGTTAGCTCAACTTGATGAAAACAAAAAAGAATATGTTATCATATATGCTAGCAGAAGTCCAAACAAAGCTGAACAAAATTATTCAGCTACAGAATTAGAATGTCTAGTCATAGTCTGGGCTATTGAATATTTTTACTAATACTTAGGAGAAAATCACTTTTATCTAATCACAGATCATACTACTCTAAAATGGTTAAGAACTACTGAATTAAAAAGAAAAAGAGCAAGATAGATAATGTGTTTAGAACCTTATAACTTTACTATAATTCATAAAGCAGGAAGAAAGTATAACAATGCTGACTTCTTATCGAGAATATATAAAAAAGATAAGCTATTAAAAGAAGTAAACTTGTTTGACTTACCTTTTGAATAAGAAGCTTTTAAAGCTGCTTTCAAAAGAAATCCAATCACTATACCAGAAGATGATATAGTAAAAATATTCTTCATAGAAAATAAAGATAATGATTTAAACCCTTAGAGTGATACTGTTTCTCTTCTAGAAGAAAACTCATTAGAAAATAATGAAAATAAATCTCAAAAAGGAATCTGAACTTTAGAAGACCTTGCTAAAGTAGAGAAAACTCTACAAGATAACTTTTCTCCTAACTTTTTTGATGGAATTAGATCTTATGTTACTATGATCTTCTCTCATAATAGAATTTTCTTTGATAGACAATCTTGTATCTGGTATTATCTTGAATATATTAGCAATAGATTTAACAATGATAACATTAAAGGCAAAGGACTTGTCAGAGATTAGAAAGGTTCTTGTGCTGAATGTTGGTATGAAACTAAAATGTATAGTCCTTGTAATAAATGTTCTCTCTGCTATACTCAACTTCAGTTATAGAAAAATATTAAACAATACCCTAGTGAAATTGTTGGACAAAGCTATTGGAGCACACCTGATAATAAACAATAGGATAAAATTGATAAAATATTATCTTGCTTCTATGAACCTCCCTCTCTTGAACCTCTATTTGAACAACAACTTGAAAATTTATACATACAACAACCTATTACAAATATCCAAATTAACTACTATACTATTCAAACTGACTACCCTTTAACAAATATACCTTGGTGGCTATCTTCCTTAGAAACACCTTCTTAACATCTTTTAGATGAATATAACAACCTCTTACCTACACATCTCTGCAATTCTGTTTAGTAGACAACACCTGACTTTACCCTTTACTAGACTATTATATTTGAATATTTAAACCTGACATTAAAAGCAATCCAGTCTAGGTAGTCAGTATCCTAGTATAAATTATTCAAAATAGAATTAGAACATTATCAAAACCTTAAAATATTTTTAGAAATAGCAGAATACACCTCTAATCTAATTCCAACTCAAAAAGAACAATTAAAAAAAAAAAGCAAATATTTTTGTATTAAAAATAATCAACTATACAAAAGAAACCAA